TCTTTAGGCTCGGCTCCCATTTCCTTAAAACTAGGGGTTTATTTTGAATGTGCCAAGGGCATTCCGAACCCAATCTCATTCAGCATCGAGAATGTAAAGACATATCTAAGCTCACCTTTCCAAAGAATCTCAATCCTTTGCATGGATCCAAAATTAGGAGGAGAACAATAAATTGTCGGAAAGAAATTGAAAGGGCCCCCTCTTTCGTACCATTGAAAAGTTCCCTCCAATCAAGAGCAGAAGCCAGCGATTCCATCAAAATTGAAACAAAATTGAGACGAAAAACACTCAAGAATTGCAAACAAGAAGCAGAAATTAGCAAACGAGAACCGCATCCAAGAGCCTATCAGTCATGCTAACGTGCGCCTGGAGAGGTTCCATCATTGGCAAAATCTTCCACTGAATTATTTTATTTTTACTAATACGATATTGTTTCATTTGGTTTTTTAGTCTGTCTTCTGTGTTCCTTAAAATAATTGGAAAAGGTTTTATCATTTGGTTGCAACAAAGGGTAAGTGTATCACATATGAAAGATGAGATGAAATCAAGAATATATAATCATTTTCTAAAATTGAATTACTAAATGTTTAAGATTAGCTTTTACACATATTTAAGACACCTCATGATCACGCCTACTGAGAACTGATATTTCACTGAAGTTGACAGCAAAAGCCACCTTCGACAACAGCAGCTTTCCGATCACCGTTGACAGTGGGAGGTCGACTTTTTCTATGAAGCAAGATGATGAAACGATTTGGATGAGACCATGATAATGATGAATTTATCAATAATATTAGTGATCAGAATACAACTTGTTAAATAATAATAGTAAAAATGAACATATACTAAATCATTAGTTACCAAATTTGCAGTTCACCCAAAACATAAAAAATACCAACGCAAAAATAAGATTTATATATACCAAAGGTTCTTGTACTATTATAAAATTTAAAATTTAGATTGTATATTTTAATTTTGTTCCATTGAGTCTTAAATTATATTTTATTTGAAAAATTGCTCCTCCATTCATTTGTTCAATTTTATTGTTAATTACCAACTTAACATCTATAAAAAATCAAAATAACTTTTTAAGTCCTATACATCAATAATTTTATTTGATTAATGATAAACTGATATGATTGAAAAAATATAATTCAATTAATGATAAATAAAAATTTAACTTTAAAAATTAAGAGGTAGATTGATACAAATTATAAACATAGGGAATTAAAGAATCATTTTACCTTTATTTTAACAGCCAAATCAATAATTAACAATAAAAGTGAATATAAATTAGAATAGAAACACAATTTTCTAAATAAAAATAGTATATAAACTCAATGTCATGCAACTAAAATATAAGTATTAAATGTTTAAATTTGAAATAATATGGGAACCAATTAAACATCCCCCACACCAACCCACTCCCCCCTCCCCCCAAAAAAAAGCAGAAGAAGAAGAAGATATAACCCTTAACTGATCAGACCAGCTCAAGCTGTACCCATGGTAGGGTTTTAGAGATCTGAATTTCGCCTTATATATGTAGTCTCTTCTCTTCTTATACTCGCTTAGCCGTCTCTTTCCTTGTCACTTTCAGAACAAACTTCAACAATGGTAACACTAATCTGCACTTTTGTAACTGAAAAAATGCCTTTTCTTTGTTATGGGTTTTAAGCGAAGTTCACTTTTCTTTCTGAAAGATCTTTAAACTGCTTGGTTTATGATGAATTCTGATGGCTTTACTGTGTATTTGATCATTGTTACACTCTGCGTGTTTTCCAACCAACCGAAGCTCACTGTTTAACTTCATTTTTAGTGGTTATCTTATTTGGTTTGTGATTTCTTTGAATTTTATAAGAATGGTTTTTCTTTTGGCTTTACATTGTGTCATTTTTGTTCAAAAGTTGAAAGCTTTTGGTTGATGGTTCTTTGATAATGTGCTGAAAACAAAGGATGTTCTCATTGATGATTGTAGGGTTTTGTCAAGGCTCAGAAAACCAAGGCTTACTTTAAGCGTTTTCAGGTTCCCCCTTGGAAATGCTGCCATTTGGAATGTCGAATTCTAGTCCTTGAATGACCTTTTGATGATATGCTTTACTGAATTTATCATGTGCAGAGGGGAAGACCAACTACAGAGCTAAGATTCGCCTTACCAACCAAGACAAGAACAAGTACAACACTCCCAATTACCGATTTGTTGTTTGATTTGTATCCTAAAATCTGCTTATTCTTACAATGTCTTATTATAGTTTTAGCCTAGTGAACAAATAGTTGATAAATTTTTGTCTTCTGCCATGGTTTTATGTTGTTGGGTCATATCTTGTTGAGTGGTAGAAATCTCGGGCTGCCATATGTTGCGAAGATCAGAGTGATCTAATTGATGTACTGAGTTTTGATTAATAGTTCTTCCATTAATGTTTGAAGTTTTTGTTAAAGTTGTTTGAGATTTGGCCATTTGCCGGACTCATTTTCTAGATTGGAACTTATTCTGATTTGTGCTTCAAACCTTAACCTTGTGATTAGAGCAACAAAGATATCACTGCACAAATCGTTTCTGCTACTATTACTGGGGATATGGTTCTTGCTTCGGCTTACTCTCACGAGCTTCCTCGTTATGGACTTGAAGTGGGTCTTACAAACTATGCTGCAGGTATGCTATTTGTTTGACCTGGATTCTGCAGATAATCAGTTTCATTTCTCATATGTTTTTTGTTATATTTGGTCAGCTTATTGCACTGGATTGCTTTTGGGACGCCGTGTCCTTAAGATGCTTGAAAATTTGATGAATATCGATGCAATGTGGAGGTATTATACATTTAAAATCATGTTTCCATATTATGGTAAAATGTTAGATACTGTTATCTTTGCATGGTTTCTTTATTAAGGATTTACATGTTACTAGGCTACCGGAGAGGATTTCTCAGTTGAGCCAACTGATACAAGGAGGTCGTTCCGAGCTCTCCTAGATGTAGGGCTGATTAGGACAACCACGGGTAACCGAGTCTTTGGTGCTCTAAAGGTATCATAAGAAAACCATATTGCGGATTTATTTGTTTTGGACAAGGCTGTTGATTTACTTGAGTTTTAAATTGAGTTAATATAATTTTGCTTTCATCTCAACAGGGAGCTTTGGATGCTGGTTTGGATATTCCTCACAGTGACAAGAGATTCGCAGGGTTCTCCAAGGAAAGCAAGCAGCTCGATGCTGAGGTTCAACGCAAGTACATTTATGGTGGTCATGTTGCTTCATATATGAGGGTAGAAAAAGTCTATCCATATCATTATTTTCATTGAATTTAACAATACAATTATTCAACCCTTTTTCTTTGGCATATTTACAGTTCTATTAATTAAATATTCTCTTTGTAGACTTTGATGGAAAATGAGCCGGAGAAGTATCAATCTCACTTTAGTGAGTATATTAATCGAGGAATCGAAGCAGATAACATTGAGTCCTTGTACAAGAAAGTTCATGCCGCAATCCGTGCTGATCCAGCTGCTAAGAAGTCCGAAAAGGCTCCTCCTAAGCAGCATAAAAGGTCGGTTTCCATGTGCAGCCTAACTTGATCAGATCCTATGAAACATTTGTACTGCACAAAGTTTCATTATTCCTCGTCTTATTGGGTTCATGTTTTCTCATTGCAGATTCAACTTGAAGAAGCTGACATTCGAGGAAAGGAAAGCTAAATTGATTGAACGATTACTTTCCCTTAACGGTGCCGCCGGTGCTGATTCCGAAGACTAGGATTGAATGTAGGATTCTGATCTTGAAACACTGCAATTCGAAGAACAAAATTACTCGTCTAGAGTTGCATCTTGTTTAGGCTGAACTTGTTTACTTGTCATTTCAATTTTGTTTACTTCGGATGTAAGTTGTTGAGACATCAAAGTACCTTAACTGCTTTAACCTGCCAATTGAGTCCTACAAGGAGAGACTGCCAGGCATTGCAGAAACTAAGAACTCGTAAGCTTTTCTTGTTTAATATGAGAACGAGTGCCGCAAATTCACACCTTTTAAGGCATTTTCTTGTTTAATGAGAGCTGGATTGTGCAAAATTATGAACTAACTCAAGCATCTTATAATTTTAATGCACCCACATTCATCCTCCTACTTATCATGCCACAAGGTTTTTGATAATAAGGTATTTAAATGTAATTATTTTTAATTTGCTAAACTATACTCATGATTACTTAATTATGATAGGATTTTAATTTGATATTGATCTTTCAAATTTAGTTAATTAAATAATTTAATTATTTAAATGATGTCAATTTTTTTGTTTTAACATTTGATGAAGGAACAAATGTGGTAGTTAACAAAATATGTATTATTATATATTTAGTCCTCATTATTTGTATATTTTATTAATTTGATACTTATTATACATGTGTCACAAGACGTGTTGAAGGTTTTTTCTTAAAATTATTTTTACTTTAAATCTTGCATCAATTAAGGAATCGTCACCGTTTGTTAGAGGAATACATTTATTAAGTTAAAATTAGGATCAAATTAATAAAATACGTAAATAATGAAGATAAAATGTGTAATTATATTGATTGTCACGATAATCATTGTTAAAGATTAATGATATATAATTTGATTGATATTATTTAAATAATTATTGATTTGATTGATAAAATCAAAAGATTGATAGTCAAATTAAAATCTTATTATAAATAAATAGTTATGAGTGTAGTTTACTATTTATAATAATATGATACTGATAATAATTGGTTGTGCAAGATAATGAATAGAATCAAATTATATTTATAATTAATTTAATTTTTAAAATTATAAAATAAACATTTATATTTAAATTAGTAAAAGTACTGATTTTTTTTAAACCTCTATGACAAATTATCCAAAAAGAACTTTAGGAAAAAGATGCTAAAAAAAGAAAAATAAACAGAAAACAGATCCATTGACCAATAAAATAACTAACGCATCCTTACAAACCATTCACGTACTCTGCAATTTGTCTATTCTTTTTCGGCAAAGGATGGAAGGTGGTGGACCACCTCAGCCTGCGAACACCGAGATGGTGGAGCAACCCGACCCTCAACAACCGCCGCCGCAATTGGCATTTGAGTTGGAGAATATTCCAGCAACTCTTAGCCACGACGGGAGGTTTGTTCGGTACAATATCTTCGGCAACATTTTTGAGGTCACTGCTAAATATAAACCTCCTATTATGCCCATTGGCAAGGGAGCTTATGGCATCGTTTGGTAAACTCTGCTTCTTCCTTTTCTGGTTGTTTTCATTTTTTATTTCATTCAGTTATTTGACTGGCTTTTGTTAATGAAATTGATGGTTTTATTAATCTTTTTCTGGGGTAGTTCTGCTTTGAATTCCGAGACGAATGAACAAGTTGCATTGAAGAAGATAACTAATGCATTTGATAACGACATTGATGCAAAGAGAACCCTTCGTGAGATCAAGTTGCTTCGTCACATGGATCACGAAAACGTTAGCGAGTTCTTTCCCTCTTCATTTTTTGGCTGATTTGACGTTGTTGATGACCATGTGATTGTTGATTGGGTGCTTTGAGTTTTTTTCTAGTTTTTCTTATTTCAAGGATGAGACCCTTTTTGTCGATGGTTATCTTATTCTTAGTGTTCATCTTAATTGATTTTTTTGTTGTTGTGAGGTGATTTACATTCACCGCATCAATTGTTGACGGAAAAAAATAAGATAGTGATGTTTTTAACGATTTATCCCTTTTAATGTAGGTGAAAAATCAAAATTGATATTTTATCTGATTTAAAATATATTTTTTCTTCTTTCTCCGTATAAAATGCAAACTGCAACTCTCCGTCCAAACAAGGAGGACAAATAAAAACACCTGCGTCTCATTTCTTCTATAACACTTTTCCATTTTCATTGAGGTATGACTATGTGGCTGACATAAGCACTTTAGCCAAAACAAAGGGTTCGAAAATCACAAGCGTATTAAGTAAACTTTAACCGGAGAATCGAACAGGGTTATGGTTAATAATATCTCATAGTAATGTATGAGCTATGCTTGGGTGTTATTTCATACAAGTAGACAATTGAATTCATTAGCATCATCCATTTTCCAGGAATATGAAGCTCTTCAAGGACATAATTAATACATTTTCTGTAATGATCAAAGACATTTGTTAATGATTCGAGATGAGAATTGCAATAGTAAGTACTAGTTTATGCTGTTATAAACTTATAAAGAATTTGGAAACTTTCCTTGAAAGAACATGGATTAAGAGCATCTATGTATAAGTGTTGTTTGATCAAATTTTGATTATTCAGGTTGATGAATTCCGCCATCATATTTTTGTTTGTGGTTTTTTTTTCTTAAACCTTGATGTAATGCCTTTTTGTGTCACTGAGAGTTAATATCATTTTGCATCTTTAATTGCAGGTAGTTGCAATCAAGGATATAATCCCACCACCCAAGAGAGAATGCTTTAATCATGTTTACATTGCATATGAGCTATTGGACACCGATCTGCATCAGATAATCCGTTCTGATCAAGCTTTATCGGAAGAGCATTGTCAGGTCGGAAAGTCAACATGTTGATTGCTTTTAATGAGCAGAATCATAATCTTTAAATCACATGTTTTATTGGATGTGATGTTTATATTTGTTGATAAGAATATATAAATGAGTCACGATTGTTATAGGCGATTCATTCATTCATTTTAGTTTGGGTGGAGAACTGTAGCTGATAGTTATAGGGTTGTTGGTCGGTGTAAGAGTATTTTATCTCTATAAGGATGTAGAAAATAAATGAATGAGAAAGAGTCGATTTCATCCCTTCTCTTGGTCTCGATCAAAAGGTTTTATAGTGTCATTTAGTGTGAGTATCAATCATAAATTTATCATAGTTGCTCGTTGGTATAGTGACCTTTAGTGTGAGTATCAATCATAAATTTATCATAGTTAGTCATAGGTTGGTAGGTTAAATGGTCAGCTGATAGTAGATTTAGTTATGATAGGTCAGTGGACCTATCAGACGTCAGGTCAAGAGGTCGTGGCCTCTTGAGGGAAGTTGAATGTTTGAAACTCTTTTTCCGAAGATGCTCTCTCAGGATCTTAGCTGTGGTGGAGTTCTCCGAAAGCTTGGAAGTGGGAAGATGATATGCTAAATACCTTCATAGTTGGTATTACATTTTCGGAAGACCTTAAACAGAGGTACAACAATATTCCACATCAGAATTTCAAAGATGTACGAAGTTGTTTAGACTCTGCCTGGTTCAGTGAACTGTGACCTTGGTTTAAAACTTACTTTTAGGGCCAGTTGTGGGTTAGTTTATGCTGGATATATGGTTTTAATGGAATTCAACTTCAAATGAAATGATGATTTCTGAAGTTTAAACAATAAGCAAAAATGAAAGAGCCAGAGTTGTCCTTTATTTTGTTAGGTCTCTAGTTTAAGGTTCCGAAGCAATAGGAATTGATGAATGATGAACAAATACTAAAAGCAACACCATTTCTAACATAACTGTCCTCACAACTAATGGCCTAATTTTGTATTGCGCAGTATTTCCTGTATCAAATCTTACGAGGGCTGAAGTATATACACTCCGCAAATGTTCTGCACAGGGACTTAAAACCAAGCAACCTTCTCCTGAATGCAAATTGTGACTTGAAAATATGTGATTTTGGACTGGCTCGTGTCTCCTCCGAAAGTGACTTTATGACGGAATATGTTGTTACAAGATGGTACCGTGCTCCAGAACTGCTGCTAAACTCTTCAGAATATTCTGCAGCCATTGATGTGTGGTCAGTGGGTTGCATTTTTATGGAATTGATGGATCGCCAGCCATTATTTCCTGGAAGAGATCATGTGCATCAGCTACGATTGCTTATAGAGGTAAAATTCTTTTTATCCTCCAACCACTTTAAAACCATCTGAAATTCAAACAAATAAGTCGGTAAGTAGCATGATGGACCAAGGAGACGTGATCCTCTAAAAAATTTAAATTTTCATATATTCTAGATATTTTTTTATATTTTTTTATTGGTAATCTATTATAAAATCATGCGTTCATCCTTAGTAAGTAGGGCCACATGAGCACGACAAAAAAATATGACAAACTAAGAAAATGCTTATAGTATTTCGCCATGAATGATTGGTAAGAGTTCTTATAGAATAAGGATTGTTAGTGATCAGGGCCGTCTTGTAAATTTTGGTGGCCCTATGCCATAACAGTAAAATATGTATTTTAAAATTAAAATATTAGATATATAAAGTTCACTAATATTTCAAAATTTATTATAACTATAAAAAAACGTTAAATAGTGGAAAACAATATCTTCATGTAATAAAGTGAAATACAAATAAGTTATTCTCTAAATAATGTGGGCCTTGGACTTGAAAATTCTTAGACCAAACATCCTAAAAACACATATATACAAAAATTTAAAAAAATTTGGAGGCCCTTAAAAAATTGGGCCCTGTGCGGTTGGGCAGCCTGCACAGGCCCAAAATCGGCCCTGTTAGTGATTAAGTAGTTGACTATATATAGAGTATGTCATAGTCTTTAGAATTATGAGAGAATATTTTGAATGGATATAATACTTTGGTGTGTCTTATTTTACATTGATATTATTATTTTTTACTAATTTCTAACTATGAATAATGAGCTCTTTGCCTTGTAGCTGATTGGCACCCCATCAGAGGATGAGTTGGGGTGTCTGAATGAAAATGCTAGGAGATACATCCAGCAACTTCCTGTTTATCACCGACAATCTTTCACTGAAAAGTTTCCTATTGTCCACCCTTTAGCCATTGATCTTGTTGAAAAGATGTTGACATTTGATCCCAGACTACGGATCACCGGTGAGTTTTTTTTAAAAAGAATAGCTAATTTAGCTCTCCCTGTGTAACGCGTTAATACCTTTTTTTCCCTCAATTCTCTTACAAAAGTTTGCCAATGCATGCAAAATGGTTACTTTGAGGTTAATTTTCTATTTCCTTCCGATATGAATATGTGATGCAGTTGGGGATGCACTTGCTCATCCCTACCTAAGCTCACTGCACGACTTAAGTGATGAACCCGAGTGCATGACTCCGTTTACCTTCGACGTCGATCAACACGCATTAACAGAGGAACAGATGAAGGAGCTAATATATCAGGAGGCGCTTGCATTCAACCCTGAATTTCTGCAACAGTGATAACACTTACGTGCCATTTATTCATTGTGGCTTTTGGTCAGTATGGTTAAAATGTTTTATGTTTGATGATTGATTTCTTCCTGTAATCAGGATGAATCTTGAACTGATATATCTGTGGTTATGTGCAGAATGCAGGAAGCTAAAACAGTTGTTTTACCCGAGTGTTTAATACGGATATGTATTCAATATGAATATATATTTAATTTTTACTTTTTTACTTGAAAGATCCTTGTACTAATCTTTTTACAATATATATTTTATAATTTCAACAATAAAATAAATAAATTACCACACTAACTTTCTTTAAATATATTCTAAAAATTATGTGTTATTTTGTTAACACCGAGAAGCTTTGAACATTATGTTTCAATTGTCAACCACCATTGATATTTTAGTTGTTAACTTGTCTTCACTGCTGTTGTCCAAGGTGGCTGGGTTGGCGAATAAGTTTGGGCGGAGTTAGATCTTTTTCTTTCGTTGTATTTTCATCTCCAATTGGTAGTGATATGTAACACGATCTAATTAGATATTAATTTTTTAATTAAATTAAATTAAAATTAAATTAATAGAATATATAACTATTGAACACTACATAATGGTTGTAATTCTTTTCAGAAAAACGTATTATTTGAACAAATTTTGGGATATTAATTCATGATGAAATGTAGAATATTAACCATTTTTGGACATTATATTTAAGTCTATTTTGAGCGCACCACACAAATCCATGTTATTTATTCAAATATCAAAAGTAAATGAGATTATCAATACATAATAATTAATAAAAACACAGTGGCTTCGACGGAGGAAGCAGGATTTAATTTAATTTAGTAGATGCACACAAACACACACAAATCCTTATTAATTATTCACATATCAAAAGTACATGAGATTATCAATACATAATTATTAATAAAACACACACAAACACACATTGGCTTCGACCATGGAAGGACAGTTTTATTTAACTTAGTAGATGCACACACTGCCTGACTCCGACTCTGCAATGCCCCAGTAGCTGCTCAAGTCGTAGAGCTGAGCGACTCTTCTTTGGTTTGAAAGTCGGTCTGGTAGTAATTAGAACCAGTGTAAGTGCTACCTTCAACTTCATATACAAGACCGTTCCCGTTATAAAGACAATACTTTTGCAAGAACGTGAAAGGAACATCGCACTTGCCTTTTTTCGCAACCAAATCCACCGTCACCTTAGCATCGAAGGCACTTTTACTTGGTGTAAAAGTTCCACTATGGTGCTTGTTGTCGTGGCCTCTCCCCACTCTTTTCCACCCTGAATTTCACCGGATAACTCGATCGACCCCTTGAAAATGCGTGGTAAGTCAAATCCCATGGTGGCTTTGGCTCCTAACTTCAGTGATGCTTGCACATCCAAGTGCTCGTCTTGGTGTCTGTATAACAAAGCTTCACGTCTAATGTTTGGCTTGATTGGTATAGTTACTAATATGTAATTTGTTTCTTACACGGTACAAAAAAATATTTTTATGGGTTGATTTAGTGAAATGTAAGGTTAAATATATATATATCTAAGATAAATACAATGCAGTATATATTTAAATACTTACAACTATTTAATAATGAACATTTATATCATTACATATAATGGTGTTAAAACTTAAAACCTCAAAAAATAATAATGGATCTCTTAACTACTATAGTCGTTTAATTTGTGCAACATTTGACTTTTAAATAAAGTTTATCAAAATTATTTTATGGTTGTTCAAGAAATATTGGATCTTGATCCAAGTGATGGAGTTATCACTCTGTTTTGAACAAGATACGATCAATTATCTATAAATTTGATTTATATCTAACACATAAATAAAAATTAAATTTAAGATCTAATGAGGTTAGTTCAAGTGGTAAACAGTTTGATTTTGTTTAATCATGTCTCAAGTTCGAGTCATTGTGTATGTAGAAAATCCCGACTGAGAGATTCACCCACTAAATCCATGTAAACAACCCATATCGATCCAGATTAATCAGGGCAATGTATTGGTTTGGGTCCCATTTTTTGTTGGCTTGTTCAGCTTATTTTGCTGTTTGTTTTTGCGTGTCGAATTTTTGTGGATGGTTCGTCTTAGCTTTTTGTTGTTGCTCTGATTTGCTTATGTGTTTATGAAGTTCATGCTTCATTGGTGGCGGTGCGTTTTTTTGGTTCTATTGTTTCCAAGAAGGTTACGCTGATTGAGTGCCAGTGGGTGCTGGTTTGGGGGTTGTTTGCTGTTGAAGGGGCTGGTTTTGTAATTGGCTTGTGGTCTATTTTCTTCCCTTGGTTGGTTGCATGGTTGGTGGTGCTTTTTCGTGGTTTACTGTCGGGAAGATGGTTTGGGTGTTTGTTGATTTGATTTTTTTGAGTCTCCCTGCGTGTGCTGCTGTTGTTCTTGTCTGCTGTGGCCTGGGTTTCCCCCTTTTGATGGATATGGTTGCTCAGGTTTTTGGCTATCTTCTCTGCGTTTAGCTTTGGCAGCCTGTTTGTGCTGCAGTTTTCGGTGTTGCCGGATTGTTGTCTACTCGTTATAGGTTCTGTGTTGAGTTTATAAATCGTTTATATAATACCAAACCTCTCTAAAAAAATCAATTAAGAGTTAGTTTTTTAAACCGTTGATCGATTCATATTTTTATAAATTTTAATCAATGTTTGATATTTCTTTTAGATTTTTGATATTTTCAGGTTTTTCAATTATCAAAATTTGATAAAACAATTATTTTCATTGTGGTTATTCTGTCGACCTAAAACGTAAATAATTAAAATTTAATTTAACTTTAATTAAATCATGTAAAAGCTAAATAATTAAAATTTTAATTAAAAGCGAATATATAAAATGTCAGTTTAATCTCTAGGGCTACTCTTTGAATCTCGATGTACATTGTTTAAAAATATTCTTACAACTGTTGGAAATATATAAAAGAAAAATCTCAGCTATCTTAAAAATTATACATTTTTACAGCTTTTACAAATTCCTTAAGAAAATCTTAGATTTTTTTTAGATACTTTTAAGAATATTTATACCACGGACCAGTGAAGGATGAATTTGCAATTGTATCCAACTATTTCCAATTCTATCCCAATCCCATCCTCCTTGTCAATTTGAGGATTTCGCAAGTGAGTTTATGTATTCATCAATCACCACCTTCCGTATTCTTCATATTCTTTTGAATTTGCATCACCTCCTGCATTTGCTCGATCTCATTCACCTTTGTAATTATGATCTTTTCAATCGATCTCAATGCATTTAACAGGAAAAAATCATCTATGATAATTCGATGATATTAATGTTCATAACATAATTATTAGAGGAGTTTCCGTTTCTGCATTGCATCATGCAGTTAGGCAGTCGCAGATGCTCAAATTAAGGTTATCTATAGTAATATGGAGAAGATGCATGGAGCAGTAAGTATTTTCATGAGAACGTATGAATTACGGGAAATTTTTTGTACAGTTTGAGCGACACAAAGGAAGATAACAATGCGGAGAGTTTCAAGTATGCATGCAATTAGGCGAAAGATGAAATATCATCAGGATGTTCTCCGACGTATACTATAACAATTACGTTGTTTAAGAAAATAATTCCTCACACCCTGTTTGATATTTTTTTCATCATATTATCAGCACAAGTTTGCCATCTCAAAACCTTTCCATTCTTACTGTAATTGTGAAAAACAAATAACTGATATATAGAGAAGTAGGGTTTAGATAAAGCCTAATTTAGTATTGACTCGGTTAAAAGCCTAAAGCGGGTAGGAACTATAATTTATAATAATTATAATTTTTCAGGAGATCAAATTTTTTTTTGTGTAGGATCAGGATAATTAATAAATAACATAATTATCTTTTTAATTAAAAAATTACAATTATCGATCAATCCAATGACTATTTCTTACTATAGAGATAAATATTTTTTTAATCTGGTGTAAGTACAAAGTAATATATGTTCAACAGTAAACTCTCAACCACTTGATATTAAACGCTCGCAGTCCTAACATTTCTAGTGCTCAAACTCAGGACCTCAAGGAATAACAACAACTCTTTTACCGCAAAAATCATTGGGTTTTGTGATTCTTCCCGTGAATGTAATTATATAAAAGTAAATAAATTTTAAAATTATAAGTTTTTAATATTCAATTTTTTAAAGATTAAATATACAAATAAAATAAAAGGGTTAAGTATTTTTGGATCCTCAAATTTTTAAAGATTTATGTTGATTTTAATTTTTTTGAAAAATATTATTATTTTCGAGTTTAAGATAAATTTATTTTTATTAAATAATATATCTAATTTTAAATATAACAACTTATCAAAAAAATATAACCATATTTTTTAATATTATCAAAATAAAGATAACTTAAATGTATTAGATAATTAGATATAGTAGGAATTAGTAACGAATGAGAATACTCGTTGTTCAAGTAATATGCCCTATAAATAAATGATAAAAAGATTAGGTTTTATGTGAATCAATTCTCTGATATTAACGTCGGACTGATTTGATGACGGCCGAAAGAAGTTTTTCTGATCTTCCAGGAGATGTTTTATCGAAGATTTTGAAGAATGCTGCGGAGAACTCTGTATACGATTTCTTACATCTTGGTCAAACATGCAAGGGATTTTGTGAAACCGCTAGGAACGAATATATTTTTGCAACAGCATCTTTGCATAACTATAGTTGTATGCCTCGGAGGATCGAAATGGAGAAATTCTTAAAAAGGGCATGTATCGCCGGAAATCCTCAAGCCTTATATAGGGAAGGGATGGCTAAGTGCTTTTGCGTAGTTAATCGTGACGTTGATCGTGGAATACAACTCTTATGGGAAGCGTCTGAACGTGGAGTGATCGAGGCTACTTATGCTTTGGGTTTACAACTGATTTGTATGGAGCCTCGAATCTGGGATGGTTATCGAGTTTTATCGACCCTCGATACCATATGCTCGAAAGAAGGCTTCGACATCCTTATGAGGTGTCGACATGTGACTAATCGTATGATTGCCGATATTTGGATAACATCACGACTCGAACCGCCGAAGAGATATTCATGTTCTTGTGTCGATAATCCCAGCTGGTGTTCATATTGTATGTGGAACTATGAGGCCAGATCTCTGGCTGGTGTACTTGAGAGACGAAATCATGTTCCCCTCCGCATGTAGTAGTTGTCTATGTTAAAGCATTCTGGACGGTTTTCATATTGTTTTTTTTATTGGATTTTTTTATTTATATTGGTAGATTTTAATGTATTTTTCTTTCAAATATTTCTTTTATTTATATTTATAATCTGCTTTAAATTTTTAATAAGATATATGCGTTGCGGAAGACGACTATCGGATAGAGCAAAATCGCAACTGATAATTTGAGAAAATAAAAATGAAGATAAAAAGAGATACAAAATTTACGTGGAAAACCCTTAAATAATATAGGGTAAAAAACACGAACAACGGTAGAAGAATTTTACTATGAGAAAATAGGAATTACAACTTCTCTCGATCTATCAAGGAGAAAACAACAATTCTCTCTTGATAAATAGGAGAAAACAACTCTAAAGAAACTCTCTAAATTCTCTCTAGTATTGGAAGAAAGCTAGAATGCTTTGGGATGGTTTTGAAGCTAAATGGGTTGGGGTATTTATAGTTGAAATTTAAGGACTAATCTTGTAAATATCCTAAAATTAAAGTGACTAAATTGGGTATTTTACCCTTGCTAATTTTCAACAATTTCATGCTTCAAATTCAAAGCAGTCGGCTGCCAACTTTGATTAATTTAGCAGCCCCCTTCACGTGTATAACCACCCAACTTGTTTAACTTTCAATAATCTCCCACTTGAAGATTTGATTGAAACAATCATATCTTCACACCATTCTTTCTACCTTGTACCTTCATGTTGCTTACGTCTCTGACAGGCCACAAGAGGATCGACACCAGGTAAATTTATCAGCGTTGATCGCCTTCGTCATAAAATCTGCTATGTTGTCTTTGGTATGGATCTTCTGCATATCTACATACCCATTGTTTAGTAAGTTTGATCCTCCGTAATATAATGCAACATTTGAGGTCCCTTTGATGTATCTCAGGATCCTCTTTACTGTATTCCAATGCTCTTTTCTTGGATTCGCCATGTACCGACTAACCACTCCCACTGCTTGTGCAATGTCTGGTCTTGTACATATCATAGCGAACATTAAACTTCTCACTGTTGATGCATACGATACTCGAGACATCTCTATCCTCTCTTCTTCACTGTTAGGACTCATACTAGAGGATAATTTGAAGTTAATAGGAAGAGGGGTAGAAATTGGCTTACAATCTTGCATGCTGAATCGTGACAAGATTTTCTTCAAGTAATTCTTTTGTGAAAGCCAAATCTTCCTATTACTTATGTCTCGGTGAATTTGCATCCCTAGAATCTTGTTTGCTGATCCCAAGTCCTTCATTTCAAATTCCCTAGCCAGTTGTGCCTTCAATTCTTCAATATGATCTTTGTTGGGTCCTGTAACCAACATGTCATCCACATACAACAGCAAAATAACAAAATCATTATCACCAGGCCTCTTGAAATAAGCACAAGGGCCTGCATTAAGTCTGTTGTATCCAAGGCACATAATGAAAGAATCAAATCTCTTATACCAACACCTCGGCGCCTGCTTTAGACCGTACAGAGATTTGTTCAACCTGCAAACCAAATTCTTCTTTTCTTTTTCTTCAAAACCTTCAGACTGGAGCATATAAATTTCTTCTTCAAGATTTCCATGAAGAAAAGTTGTTTTAACATCTAGCTACTCTAGATGTAAGTCCAATGTAGCACACATTGCCAAAACTACTCGAACTGGTTTTAGTCGAACCACAGGAATAAATATTTCATTGAAATCAATACCTTCTTTTTGAGCATATCCTTTGACCACCAGTCTTGCACGATACCTCTCAACTTGATCGTCACCAATTCGCTTGATTTTGAAGACCCATTTGTTACCAATTGGCTTCCTTCCTTGTGGTAGTGGCACAAGGTCCCATGTATTATTTTTATGAAGGGCTTCAATTTCGTCTTGCATCGCCATCATCCACAGTGAAGTATCTGAGTTGTTTATTGCCTCCTGGTATGTTGATGGTTCATCGTCCTCTGTTAAAAGGCATTATGCAATATTACCTTCTATAACATAATCTGAGTGCCAATTGGGACGTCTTCTCACACGATTTGACTGACGAGTTGTTGGAGCTTCACAACTCTCTGGTTCTTGTTCATCATGTGCTGGTTCTGCTTCAGAAGAATCATCTTGTTCAAACTCTTTTTCCACATGTATCTGAGTAGTCTCTGACTTTTCAGCGCTATCATCGTCTTCTTTTCTTTGTAGTTTATCTTCTACAAAGATAATATCTCTACTGATGATCACTTTGCGGGCAGTGGGATCCCACAAGCGATACCCCTTTACTCCATCAGCATACCCCAAGAATTTGCATTTCCTGGATTTTGGATCAAACTTTGAAATTTCTTGGGAGTTATACATCACGTACACTACTTCCAAATACATGGAGGTTTGAATAATCAGCTGGTTTTCCAGTCCACATCTCTATTGGTGTCTTCAGCTCTATTGCAGTTGATGGAGCTCGATTCATCAAATAACAGGCGATATTGACTGCTTCTGCCCAGAATGATTTTTTTAGGCCTGCATCCCTCAACATTGCTATTGTTCTTTCTAACAAGGTTCTGTTCATCCGCTCTGCCACTCCATTTTGTTGAGGAGTGTTCGCCACTGTGAACTGTCTTTTGATGCCTTCTTTCCTGCAAAAGTCATCAAATTATTCGCTTGTGTATTCTCCTCCATTATCTGTTCTGAAACACTTGATCGTATTTCCAGAATCAAGTTCCACCCGCGCTTTGAAGTTTTTGAAAGTTGAAAACACGTCCGACTTCTTCTTAATAGGGTGCACCCAACATCTCCTGGAGTAGTCATCAATAAATGAGACAAAGTATTTTGCTCCACCTAGGAATGTTACTGGTGCTTGCCATACGTCAGAGTGAACCAATTCTTGAACACTTTTGCCTCTAGAATTTGATGTGTTGAATTTCAACCGGTGCTGCTTACTTGTTATGCAATGCTCACACAAAGTAAGTGATACATTTGTTAAGCCTGAAAGTAGCTTTTGCTCCACAAGGACTTTCATTCCTTGTTCTGACATGTGTCCAAGTTTCTTATGCCATATCATTGCAGAATCTGAACTACATGAGGCAACAGAGGCTTCTGCTTCTAGCAATGTCTCTCCCTTCAGCATGTACAAGTTTGCAGCTATCTTTTCACCTTTCAGCACCACAAGCGCTCCACGGAACACCTTCATGATTCCTTTCCGTGTTTCAATCTTGCTAGCATTATTATCCAACAATCCGTAGGATAATAAATTTTTCTTCAGACCTTTCACGTGTCGCACATCTCGAATAACTTTAATTGTTCCATCATACATCTTCAATTTGATGGTTCTCACGCCAACGATCTCTAAGGCATGATCATTGCAACTATACACAGATCCTCTTGAGACAGGTTCATAATGATGGAACCATTCTCTTCTTGAGGTCATGTGATATGTTACTCCCGAATCAATGAGCCATATATTTGTAAATCGTTTTCTTCCTTCCACGGTGGTTGACGCTTCACAACATAGAGCATCTCCATCATCTGAAGTGTTTGCGGTATTGCCTTGTGGATTGGAGTTTTTATTTAGACTCCAACAATCCTTCTTCAAGTGACCCTTCTTTCCACAGTTGTAACACTTTAAATTCTTCTTGCTTCTCGACTTCGATCTACCATGTTTGTGACTGCTGCTTTGGCCAATTTCTGTTGATCTCCCTCTCATCGTTGTCAACGCTTCTGCTTGTTGCAAATTTACTTGTTTGTCTTCCTTGTTTTGCGCCAATTTTCTTCTTGTAGAATAACAGCTGCAACGTCATCGAAGACTAGATAGGTGCCATTACTGTTTGTCAAGTTGATGATGAGTTGATCATACGAATCATGTAGACTTTGAAGTAGAAGTTCAGCACGTTTCTTGTTCTCCTATTTTACAGCTTAAGGATGTAAGCTGAGAAAATAAAGTGTTCAGTGTATTTAAGTGCTCCGTCACTGAAGTAGATTCTGGCATACGGAGAGTGTACAATTTCCTCTTAAGGAAAATTTTATTGTGCAACGATGTGGCCTCATACAGTTTGGTGAGATGATCCCATATCTCCTTAGTTGTCTTCTTCTCCTCGATGCTTGACAATACTTCATCTGCTAATGTTAGATGAAAGTTTGCCATAGCATTCCCGTCCATTTCGATCCATTTATTGTCATCTGTGAAATCCACCGGCCTTTCACTGATAGATGCTAGATGTCTTTCCTCAGGATGGTCTTCGTCTTCAATTTCCACAATGAGAAATTTCTCCCATTGAATTTTTCAATATCAAATTTTATTGCCATAGCTTCTTTTACAGATAGCTCCCACTATTTCACTATAGTGAACAGTTCTCTGGAACCTTCAAAGAATGGGTAATAACTTCTTACTTTCTTATGTTGGAGGATCCACCTTTTGGTGACAACCACAAAGACAATAAGCAAATATTACACACTCTAATCTAGCTCTAATACCAATTGTTGCGGAAGACGGCTATCGGATAGAACAAAATCGCAACTGATAATTTGAGAAAATAAAAATAAAGATAAAAAGAGATACAAAATTTACGTGGAAAACCCCTAAATAATATAGGGTAAAAACCACGGACAACGGTAGAAGAATTTTACTATGAGAAAATAGGAATTACAACTTCTCTCGATCTATCAAGGAGAAAACAATAATTCTCTCTTGATAAATAGGAGAAAACAGCTCTCAAGAAACTCTCTAAATTCTCTCTAGTATTGGAAGAAAGCTAGAATGCTTTGGGATGGTTTTGAAGCTAAATGGGTTGGGGTATTTATAGTTGAAACTTAAGGACTAATCTTGTAAATATCCTAAAATTAAAGTGACTAAATTGGGTATTTTACCCTTGCTAATTTTCAACAATTTCATGCTTCAAATTCAAAGCAGTCGGCTGCCAACTTTGATTAATTTAGAAGCCCCCTTCACGTTTATAACCGCCCAACTTGTTTAACTTTCAACAATCTCCCACTTACAAAATTTTCGGAGAACGGTCAAA